TCCTTTTTCCTCCCCCTTCCTTCCTCTTACTCTTCCCCCCGCCTTTTCTCCCTTCCCTTCCCTTTCCCTTCCCTGTCTGCTCCTCCTTCCCCTTCCCTGCTCTTCCCTTTCCTGCTTGCTCTTTTCCTTCCTCTTCCCTGCTCCTTTTCTGCTTGCTCTTACACTTCTCTTCCTTTTTCTTCCCCCTTCCTTCCTCTTCCTTTTCCCGCCTTTTCTCCCTTCCCTTCCCTTCCCTTCCCTTCCCTTCCCTTCCCTTCCCTTCCCTTCCCTTCCCTTCCCTTCCCTTCCCTTCCCTTCCTCTTCCCTGCCCATCCCTTCCCTTCCCACTCTTTTCCCCTCCCTACATCTCTTTTCTATCCCTGCCTGCTCTTTATCCCTCCCTTCCCTGCCTGCTCTTCCCTTTTCTGCTTGCTTACACTTCTCTTCCTTTTTCCTCCCTCTTCCTTCCTCTTCCTCTCCCCCCCCCCCTTTCTCTTTTCCCTTCCCTTCCCATGTGCTCCTCCTTCCCCTTCCCTGCCCTTTCCTTTCTCTCCGCTCTGTCCCCAGCGCCTCGGTACCCGGTGCTCACCGTGCTGGTTACCGGGCCGGTACCGCTGCCACACGCGCACGGTGCGGTCGTCGCTGCAGGACGCCAGGCGCTCGCCGCTGCGGTCGAAGGCCACGCTCCACACGGTGGATTGGTGCCCCTCCAGCGTGGCGCAGCACACCCAGTCATCCTCCTCCTCCCGGTACAGCTTCACCGTGTCGTCATAGCTGGCCGAGGCCAGGAGCTGAGCCACGCAACGCAACCATGGGAAACAGCTTCAGGGTCACCCGCTCCAACCCTTACCCGGCACTGCCACGGCCACCACTGACCCATGGCACTGAGGGGGTGTGAGCACTGCAGGGACGGTGACTGCAGCCCTGCCCTGGGCAGCCTGTTCCAATGCCTGAGCACCCTCTGGGGCAGGAATTGTTCCTCAGCTCCATCTAAACCTGCCCTGGGGCAGCTTGAGGCCGTTTCCTCTTGTCCCATTCCTTGTTCCTTGGGAGCAGAGCCCAGCCCTGCCCTGGCCCTGCTGCCGCACTGGTGCTGCTCCAGGCCAGGATGCTGGGGGCTGCCTGGGCACAAGCTGCTCGTGCTCAGCTCCATCACTCAGCACCCCCAGCCCCTTTCCCATCAGCAGTTTCCAGCCACAATTCCTCAAGCCTGGAGCGTTGCAGGGGTTGTTGTGAGCCCTTTGCCCCACTGAACCTCATGCCTCCATTCCCCCCTCACTGTCCAGCCAGATCTCATCCCACTTTTCTTCCCCTCCGTTCCTGCTCTTCCCCCTTGCTGGGAGCCATGGGGAGACACCGGAGCCGAACAGGACCAGGGCGCCTCTCCCCAGGCCCATTCCCAGCACCGGGACACGCGTTGGGCATGGCGCTCGTACCTCCTGGTTTGGGTGCCACACCACGTGCTTGACGTCCTGCGTGTGCGAGTTGAGGACGCTGACGCACTCGTACTCCTCCTCCTCATCCACTGCGGAGAGGAGGCTGAGGCAGTGACACAACCTGGGGCTGGGGGGTCCCCCCACAACCCCCTGCTCTCCCCTCACCTTCCCACACCCAGACGCTTTTGTCCCGGCTGCAGGTGGCCAGGAGGGTGCCCGAGGGAGCCCAGGCCACCGACTTCACCTCGTTCTCGTGGCCCTCCAGCGTCGTGATGCACTGCGGGGCACAGGACAGCCGAGAGGAGGGGCATTGGGGGGCATGGGGTGGGAGTGGGGGCTTGGGGAGCATGGGAGATGTTGGGATGCTCGGGGGCGGTATTGGGGAACGTGGGGTGGGACTGGGGCCTTGGAGGATGTTGGGATGCTCGGGGGGGCATTGGGGGACATGGGGTGGGACTGGGGGCTTGGGGATGTTGGGGTGCTCAGGGAGGGCGTTGGGGGGCATGGGGTGGGAATGGGGGCTTGGGGGGAGCATGGGAGATGTGGGGGTGCTCAGGGGGGGCATTGGGGGGCGTGGGGTGGGAGTGGGGGGCTTGGGGAGCATGGGGGATGTTGGGATGCTCGGGGGGGCATTGAGGGATATGGGGTGGGACTGGGGGGCTTGGGGAGCATGGGGGATGTTAGGGTGCTCGGGGGGGCGTTGGGGGGCATGGGGTGGGAGTGGGGGCTTGGGGAGTATGGGAGATGTTGGGGTGCTCGGGGGGGATTGGGGGACATGGGGTGGGATTGGGGGGCTTGGGGAGCATGGGGGATGTTGGGGTGCTCAGTGGGGGGGCACTGGCGGATATAGGGTGGGAGTGGGGGAGTTGGGGAGCATGGGAGATGTGGGGGTGCTCAGGGGGGGCGTTGGGGGGCATGGGGTGGGAATGGGGGCTTGGGGGGAGCATGGGAGATGTTGGGGTGCTCAGTGGAGGTATTGGGGGGCATGGGGTGAGACTGGGGACTTGGGGAGCATGGGAGATGTTGGGGTGCTCAAGGGGGGGCACTGGGGGATATGGGGTGGGAGTGGGGGAGTTGGGAAGCATGGGGGATACTGGGGTGCTCAGGAGGGGCACTGGGGGACATCAGGTGGGACTGGGGGCTTGGGGAGCATGGGGGATGTTGGGGTGCTCGGGGGGGCATTGGGGGACATGGGGTGGGAATGGGGGCTTGGGGGATATTGGGGTGCTCGGGGGGGCATTGTAGGGCATGGGTTGGAGAACACAAAAGGATGCTGGGGTCACAGGGCAGGGTTGGGAAGCACAGGGAGGTCTATTGGGGGGTACAGAGGGATGCTGTGGGTCACGGGAGGGTGTCTGTGCTCACGCGGGGGTTGTTGTGGGGCACGGGGTGGAGATCGGGGGCCTCAGTGGGGGAAGCTGGGGGGGCAGAGGAAGGTTTTGGGGGCCACGAGGGGGTGCCCCACCTCGAAGCCATCCTCTTGCTTTTTCCAGATGCAGGTGGTGGCGTCGAAGCTGGCGGAGGCCAGGTAAGTGCCGCAGGGGGACCAGGCCACCCTGCGCACCGTGCGCTGGTGCCCCTCGACCAGCACGGCGCGGCACGACCAGCCCGACCCTGCGGGCACAGCGCGCCTGACGTCACGGCCACGCCCCCCCCAACCGCGCCCTCATCGCTCCGCCTGGCCACGCCCCCCTCTTTCTCCCACCATAGCCCCGCCCTCTTTCTCCCAGCCACGCCCCCTTCCCCCCCTCAACCCCGCCCTCATCGAACCTCCTGGCCACGCCCCCAATCAAAGCTCCTTCCACGTTCCCCTCTGGCTCCGCCTCCATTTCAGCCCCGCCCACCAAGCATAGCCCCGCCCTCTTTCTCCCAGCCACGCCCCCTTTCCCTCAACCCTGCCCTCATCGCTCTGCCTGGCCACGCCCCCATCAAAGCTCCTCCCACGCCTCCCTCCACCCCCGCCTCCTTTTCAGACCCGCCCACTAATTATAGCCCCGCCCTCTTTATCCCAGCCACGCCTGTCACCCCCTCAACCCCGCCCTCATCGCACCTCCTGGTCACGCCCCCAATCAAAGCTCCTCCCACGTTCCCCTCTGGCTCCGCCTCCTCAGCCCCAGCCACCAATCATAGCCCCGCCCTCTTTCTCCCAGCCACGCCCCTCAACCCCGCCCTCATCGCACCTCCTGGTCACGCCCCCAATTAAAGCTCCTCCCACGCCTCCCTCTGCCTCCGCCTCCTTCTCAGCCCCGCCCACCTATTATAGCCCCGCCCTCTTCCTCCCAGCCACGCCCCTCAACCCCGCCCTCATCGCACCTCCTGGTCACGCCCACAATCAAAGCTCCTCCCACGTTCCCCTCTGGCTCCGCCTCCTCCTCAGCCCCGCCCCATCAATCATAGCCCCGCCCCCTCTCCGCAGCCCCGCCCTAATCCCTCCTCTGTCCCCATCCCTTCCTCCCCCCCCGATCACGCCCCTCCCATTAAGCCCCCCCCCGTTTGGCCCCGCCCACCAACTATAGACCCCGCCCCCTCGTGCCTCTGTCCCCGCCCCTCCCGTTAAGCCGCCCCCCCCCCTTTGGCCCCGCCCGCCAAATATAGACCCCGCCCCCTCACGCCTCTGTCCCCGCCCCTCCCGTTAAGCCCCCCCCGCCTTTGGCCCCGCCCCCTCGCGCCTCTGTCCCCGTCCCTCTCGTTAAGCCCCGCCCTCCCCGTTTGGCCCCGCCTGCCAACTATAGACCCCACCCCCTACGTGCCTCTGCCCCCGCCCCTCCCGTTAAGCCCCGCCCCACCTTTTGGCCCCGCCCGCCAACTATAGACCCCGCCCCCTCACGCCTCTGTCCCCGCCCCTCCCGTTAAGCCCCCCCCCCCGTTTGGCCCCGCCCCCTCGTGCCTCTGCCCCCGCCCCTCCCGTTAAGCCCCGCCCTCCCCCCGTTTGGCCCCGCCCGCCAACTATTGACCCCGCCCCCTCATGCCTCTGTCCCCGCCCCTCCCATTAAGCCCCGCCCCCCCACTATAGACCCCGCCCCCTCACACCTCTGTCCCCGCCCCTCCTGTTTGGCCCCGCACGCCAACTATAGACCCCGCCCCCTCGCCGATCTGTCCCCGCCCCTCCCGTTAAGCCCCGCCCCCCCTTCCCGCGGCCCCCCCCACTATAGACCCCGCCCCCTCGCACCTCTGTCCCCGCCCCTCCCGTTAAGCCCCCCTCCGTTTGGCCCCGCCCACCAACTATAGACCCCGGCCCCTCGCGCCCCCGGCCCCGTCCCTCCCTTTAAGCCCCGCCCTCCCCCGTTTGGCCCCGCCCACCAACTACAGACCCCGCCCCCTCTCGCCCCCGGCCCCGCCCCTCCCGGCTCCCCCTCTCACCTTCCCTGCCCCACACTCGCACCGCCCGGTCCCCGCCGCACGACGCCAGGAGCCCCCCCCCGGGGCTCCAGGCCAGGAACCAGCACCGGGACTCGGGGTGCGCGGGGAGCCGGCACAGCAGCTCCAGCGCCTCCTTCATGGCCGCGCTCCGGATGTGGCGTCAGCGCGCCCCGGATGCGGAGCGCTCCGCGGTGGGGCGGAAGCGGCGGGCGCTGAGGCGGAGAGGCGGCTTCGGGCCCCATGTACACCCCGGGCGGGCCGGGGCTGCCCGGCGGGCGGCGGCGCCGGGGGGCGGCGGGCGGGGGGCTCCCGAAGCAGCCGGAGCGGAGCCTGGCCTCGGCGCTGCCCGGCGCCCTCTCCATCACCGCGCTCTGCACGGCGCTGGCCGAGCCCGCCTGGCTCCGCATCCACGGCGGGACGTGCGCCCGGCAGGAGCTCGGCGTCGCCGATGTCCTGGGTTACGTTGACCCCGAGCTGCTCCGAGGTGAGGCCGGGCAGGGAGCGCGTCCCCCCTCCGGTACCTCCCTTGAGGCTTCAGCCCCTGCCCGGGCCGCTCCGGTGCTGGCTGAGCCCGAGGGGAACGGGAGAAGCACGAATCCATTGATCCTAACGCGAGCTGCTGGGTGACCCAGGCGTGGAACCGGGGGGTGGCTTGGGATGGACGGGACCTTAAAGCTCATCCAGCTCCAACCCCTGCCATGGGCAGGGACCCCTTCCACCGGAGCAGCTTGCTCCAAGCCCCTGTGTCCAACCTGGCCTTGAGCACTGCCAGGGATGGGGCAGCCACAGCTTCTCTGGGCACCCTGTGCCAGCGCCTCAGCACCCTCCCAGGGAAGAGCTTCTGCCTAAGAGCTCATCTCAGTCTCCCCTCTGGCAGGTTAAAGCCATTCCCCTTGGCCTGTCCCTACATCCCTTGTCCCAAGCCCCTCTCCAGGTTTCCTGCAGCCCCTTCAGGCACTGGAGCTGCTCTCAGGTCTCCCCTTCAGGAGCCTTCTCTTGTCCAGGCTGCCCCAGCCCAGCTCTCTCAGCCTGACTCCAGAGCAGAGCTGCTCCAGCCCTCGCAGCATCTCCATGGCCTCCTCTGGCCTTGCTCCAACAGCTCCATGTCCTCATGTTGGGGACCCCAGCACTGCACACAGGGCTGCAGCGGGGGCTCACAAGAGTAGAGGGGCAGGATCCCCTCCCTGAGCTGCTGCTCACGCTCTGGGGGTGCAGCCCAGCACTGGGGGGGTTCTGGGCTCAAGCGCTCACTGAAGCCGGCTCATGGGGAGCTTCTCCTCACCCAACACCCCCAAGTCCTTCTCCTCTCCAGGCTCCCCCAGGCTGTGTCTGTGCTGGGGATTGCCCTTCCCCAGGAGCAAGGTCCCTTTGGATCCCCTTCCTTCCCTCCCGCCTGTCACTGCCCCACGCAGCGCTCTGCCCCTTGCTGGGTTTGGGTGGAAAAGCAGCGTTCTGTGGTGCTCTCTCCCTCCCCTCGCAGATTACTGCATGAACCCGCAGACCGTGCTGCTGCTCCGGGTCATCGCCGCCTTCTGCTTCCTGGGAATCATCTGCAGCCTCTCCGCTTTTCTCCTGGATGTCTTCGGACCCAAGCACCCGGCGCTGAAGATCACCCGGCGCTACGCGTTCGCTCACATCCTCACAGGTAAATCCCTGCAGGAGCAGCCCGTGCTGGGCTGGGTTTCCATCCCGGACCTTCAAAGGATGGAAGGAAAAGCCCCCAGAGGGTGTTTTCCATGCCTTGGATCCTTGCTGTGCTTCCCGTCCTACAGGGCCGCCCCTGCACTGGGTTTCACCTTCCGTGGTGATAATGGAGTTAAATCTTGGTGGGGATGGTTAGGGGTGAACATTAAGTGTCCCTTGGTGGGTCTTAGTCCTTAAAGAGATGTCCTAGAGCCTCTCAGGGGAGAAAGGCCCTATGTTTTTGACCCCGGAGATCAAAGGAGCTTTGATATCCCTTATCCCTTCTGGAATTCCCAGCTGAGCCCTGAGCAGCTCATCCCCCTTCCCCATGGAGCAATGATTCATCCCTGCTGCTCCTATGAGCTCCCATAAAGCCCCCTTTCCGACCCTAACCCACCTCCCCCTGTGCTCCTCCTGCCTTTCCCCCCTATCCCGATGGATCTGGAGCATCCCCAGCTCTGCCCCCGGGGCTCGCTCAGGGTCTCTGCTCTCCCCCCCCCCGCAGTCCTGCAGTGCGCCACCGTCATCGGGTTCTGCTACTGGGCCTCGGAGCTCATCCTGGCGCAGCAGCAGCAGCACAAGAAGTACCACGGCTCCCAGGTCTACGTCACCTTCGCCGTCAGCTTCTACCTGGTAGCGGGCGCCGGCGGCGCCTCCATCCTGGCCACGGCCGCCAACCTCCTGCGCCATTACCCCACCGAGGAGGAGGAGCAGGCCCTGGAGCTGCTCTCCGAGATGGAGGAGAACGAACCCTACCCCGCCGAGTACGAGGTCATCAACCAGTTCCAACCGCCGCCGGCCTACACCCCCTGAGCCCGGCGCCGCTTCCTCTGCCCCCCCCCTCCATCCGCACCCCCAACTCCATCACTCTTCCCCCCCCCCCCACCGCCCTGCCCTGCCCCAGAGGAAGGACCTTGTCGGCTCAGCCCATCCGTGTCCTCCTCCCATCTCTTCCATGGACTCCGATTTGGAACCCTCTTGGTGGAAGGAGCGTTGGGGCGGCTCCTTCCCGGGGTTTTATCCCCTTGGAGCTCTCCCGCGGAGGGAAGGAGGGAATCCAGCGCCCCGTTGAGCTCCGGTCCCCCCCCCCTCCACCGAGCCGTCCCATCACCGGTGTCTCTATTTACAGCGGTTCATCGGGATCTCTACCCCAGCGCTGCGGGATGGAGCCCGACCCACACCACCACCGCCGCCAACACCGCTCCCTGGTTTGCACTTTAGTTCAGGCTCCGGGTGGGATGGGGACGGATTCGGGACCGACACATGGGACTTATCACCCCCAGAAGCTCTTTGCCCCCCCCGGCAGCAGGTCTGGGGGCAGCTTTTATCCCGTCCCCCCCCCCCCATTGAGCCGATTGGGGGGGGTTTAACCCACGTTTGGGCACAGCGCCGGCTCCCGGCTGGGAAAGCGGCCTCTGCCCGTGGTTTTATGCAAGATCCCGCCCCCCACGCCAGCCAAACTCCTGCTTTTTGCCCCCGCTTCCATTGCTCTCGGTGTTTCCGTGCCCCGCTCTTCGCTGATGATCCCGGTTCCCAGCACGAACACTGAGGAGCGCCGGCCCTGGAGCCAGCACCTCCCTGGCAGCACCGGAGAGCCGAGGGGAAAACGGAGCCCGGCAGCGCCAGGCCTGGAGGAGGAGGTCGCTGCAGGGATGGAGCAGGATTTTGGGGCAGTTTAAAGCAATTCAAGCAGCCAAAGGCCCCCCCCCCCAGGGACACATCAACCCAAGCACCGCAGCGCTGCCGTCCTCGAGCCTGGATCCGCGGAGGGCTTAGAGAAGGAGGTTTGGGACTGGAACGTCGCTCCGTGTAGGTTCCCATCCATCCCTCTCATGCTTTTATTCCCTGTTTTGTTGCTGTTTAGCCCAGCTCGTCCCTTTCCCCCGCTCCCTGCACCCGCAGCAGCTATGCAAGAGCTCCGGCCGCGCTCCGGGGCTCCGGCTGGGGCATGAAACCGGCTCCGGGAAGCGCTGCCTGCGCCTGGAGAGGCTCCGAAGGGGGGGAATCGGCCCCTGCAGCCCCTCAACGGGAGCCTGCCGGCCTCTGCCTGGAGAAGTTTGGGATTCTGAGCTGCAGGAGGGGCCTCGAGCGTCCCCATCCGGGCACAAGCACTCGGGGTTCCTGCACAAACCCCCCCTCACTCGGGCCCGGGGCATCGCTTCCTACCGGGAGCGAGGTGGGAACCGGGGATGGGCTCCCCCAGCCCCGCTTGGGGGGAATAAAGGGGGTGCAAGAGCTGTGTGGAGCCTGGCTTTGTGCTGGGGAAAGGGGGGGGGCGGTGTAATCCCCTATTGCCCCATGTAAACCCCTGCCCGTACACACTGCCCTCCAGAACCCCAGCCTGGGTTGGGTTGGAAGGGACCCTAAAGCTCCTCCAGCTCCAACCGCTGCCACGGGCAGGGACCCCTTCCATAGAGCAGCTTGCTCCGAGCCCCTGTGTCCAACCTGGCCTTGAGCACTGCCAGGGATGGGGCAGCCACAGCTTCTCTGGGCCCCTGAGGTTCAGCATCACTTTGCTTTGTGGGGCCCTGGAGAGCGCTGTCCAGGGAGGCTCTGCACAGAGGGAGGTGCAGGTGGGTCGGGAGGGGAGGATGTCGATGCTGGAGGTGCTGATCTGGAAGGCAGCAGGGGCAGGACCGTGCCCAGCTCCTGGTTTCCATCCTGGCTCTTCACCTTGGGGGAGCAGGGGCTGGATGCTTGCGTGCTCCAGCACCCTCGAGGGCACCCAGCACTTGGGTGCTGCACCAGTGGGGCTCTGGGTGCCTGGTGTGGTTTAAGCCGTTGCTGGCAGCATTCTGGAGGAGACCAGCTGTAAGGGCTCCCCAGCAGCACTTCCTCTACGGGTGCTTTGGGACTGGGAGCAGGGCTGGAGGTGTGCACCCTGTGAGCCATGGAGGAGTAGCACAGAGGTAGGTTTGGGTGGCAAAGCATGGATGCATTGCCATAGCGCTGCTGGGGAGGGTGCTGTGTGCAGGTGATGCCCAGCAGCAGCTTTCTGCCCTGGCTCCACCACCCTCACATAAATCACTTCTTCTTTATCTCCAACCTGAACTCCCCCTCTTTCAGTCTGAACCCATCACCCCTTGTCCCATCCCTACAGTCCCTGATGAAGAGCCCCTCTCCTGCATCCTTGCAGCCCCCTTCACACACTGGAAGCTGCTCTGAGGTCTCCACGCAGCTTCTCTTCTCCAGGCTGAACAGCCCCAGTGTCCTCAGCCTGGCTCCATAACCCCCCTGTCCACACCCCATCGTCCCCCAGAACTCCCCATTGCCCCTCAAAACCCTTCACTGATCCCCCTAATCCCACATTGCCCACTGTGACCCCCATAACCCCCTTGCTCCCCATAAGCATCCATGGGATGGGTTTTCACCGTGCTGGTGTTCCTGGGCTTCATCCTGCCAGATTCTGGCCCGAGGGGGGCTCATGCCCCAGCCGCAGCCGAACCCCCCTCCCGGGATCCCGTTTCACTTCCCACCTTCAGGAACCCCAATAGGGGCTGTCCCTGTGGCAGCATTAATGGGGTGCACCCCTCCTGCAACCCCACCTTTAACCCCCCCTTAGGAACTGACCCCAAATATCCCATATAAATGTGAATCCCCACCTTAAAGCCGTTGGATCATGGGAAAGGGTGCGGGGGGTCTGGATCCATCCAATGACTGGATCCCCCCTCCAGAAGAGGTTTTTCTCTATGGGTGACATGATTGTTACCCCCCTGTCTACACCTGCCCCCCCCCCCCATGTCTGTGTCCCCCCCTCGGGTCATTTGGGGACACAGGGGGGCCGTGCTGGTCACAAACCTTTATTGCAGCAGCAGCGGGGGGGGGCTGTGACCCCCGCCCGTTTTGGGGGGGTCTCCCTGAGTTTCCCACATTGCTCCCAACCCCCCCCCCCAAGTGCTGGTGGTGCCCGAGGGCCACTCGTACCGCTTCCCCCCCATTCCCGTCTTGTTCCCCCCCCATTCCCATCCCACTCCCCCCCATTCCCATTCTGCTCCTCCCCATTCCCACACTGCTTCCCCCCATTCCCATCCCGCTCCCCCCCCATTCCTGCACTGCTTCCAACCATTCCTGCACTGCTTCCCCCCATTCCCGCACCGCTCCCCCCCATTCCCATCCCTCTCCCCCCCCCATTCCCACACCGCTCCCCCCATTCCCATCCCTCTCCCCCCCATTCCCATCCCGCTCCCCCCCCATTCCTGCACTGCTTCCAACCATTCCTGCACCGCTCCCCCCCCATTCCCGCACCGCTCCCCCCCATTCCCGTCCTGCTTCCCCCATTCCAATCCCTCTCCCCCCCATTCCCGTCTTGCTCCCCCCCATTCCCATCCCGCTCCCCTCCCATTCCTGCACTGCTTCCAACCATTCCCATCCCACTCCCCCCCATTCCCATCCCGCTTCCCCCCCATTCCCGTCTTGCTCCCCCCCCATTCCCATCCCGCTCCCCCCCCATTCCTGCACTGCTCCCCCCCATTCCTGTCCTGTTTCCCCCATTCCCGCACCGCTCCCCCCCATTCCCATCCCTCTCCCCCCCCATTCCCGCACCGCTCCCCCCGTGCCCGCCCCGCTCAGGGCCGCTCCCGCAGCCGCCGGGCCAGGAGGCTCCGCAGCGTTCTCCGCTCGGACTCGTTCCTGCGGACGCGGGCGGGGGGGGCCGCGGCGGGGCCGGGGCCCAGGGAGGGGCTGGAGCGCGCCCTGCTCAGCGCGGGGGGGGCCCGGGGGGGCGCTCCCGGCTCCGCCTCCGCCTCCCGGCCCGGCTCGGCCCGGCCGCGGAGCCACGAGTCCAGCACCCGCACGTAGGTCTCGTAGCGCCGGCGCTGCGGGGGGGCACCGCAACGGGGTCAGCGCGGGGACAGCGGGGTCAGCGCGGGGACAGCGGGGTCAGCGCGGGGACAGCGGGGTCAGCGTGGGGACAGCGGGGTCAGCGCGGGGACAGCGGGGTCAGAGTGGGGACAATGGTGCCACCATGGGGACAATGGAGCCCCCACGGCCAGAACAGGGTCACCATGGGGTGATGGTGCTGCCATAGCCAGAACAGGGTCACCATGGGCACAATGGTGCCACCATGGCCAGAACAGGGTCACCGTGGGGACAATGGAGCCACCATGGCCAGAACAGGGTCACCATGGGCACAATGGAGCCATCGTGGCCAGAACAGGGTCACCATGGGGACGATGGAGCCACCATGGCTAGAACAGGGTCACCATGGGGGCAATGGTGCTGCCATAGCCAGAACAGGGTCACCATGGGCACAATGGTGCCACCAAGGCCAGAACAGGGTCACCATGGGCACAATGGTGCCACCATGGCCAAAACAGGGTCACCATGGGCACAATGGAGCCCCCATGGCCAGAACAGGGTCACCGTGGGCACAATGGAGCCACCACGGCCCCGTGTCACCAAGGGCAATATCGGTGCCACCGCGGCCCCGGTGCTGCCGTGCCCGTACCAACCTCACCACGGCCACAACGGTGTCCCCGTGGCCCCGGTGTCCCCATGGGCGCAGCACCCCCGTACCCCGCAGCACCACCTCCGCCCCGGGCCAGGACCGGGCTGGATGCGCCCCCCCCAGCGGCGCCGCTCCCCTCACCTCGTGCAGCAGCAGCTCCGTGTCCCGCCGGTGCTGCCGCGGGTCGGGGCCGGGCCCGTGGCGCTGCCGCTGCCGCAGCTCCCGCTCCACCCGCTCCATCCAGGCCGCGTGGCTCCGGCGCTGCTCCTCCTGCGGCGGCACCGGCTCAGGGGGGGACTCCCCGGGGCCTCCCGTCCCCGTCCCCCCCTTTCCCGGTGCTCACCGGGGGGCTGCGGCTGAGCGCCGCGGGCAGCAGGGGCCGCGCGGGGCCGCGCTGGGACCCGACGGCGGCGGGGAACGGGGGCGCGGAGAGGAGCGCGGCCGCCAGGTTGAGGCGCGCGATCCAGGCCAGCATCTCCCGGGGCGTCCTGCGGCGGGGGGGGGTCACCGGGGCCGCCCCCCCCCCCAAAACCGGGACCCCCCCCCCCCCCAACTCACGGCGCTTGGAAGAGGAAGCGGCTCCCGTCGGCCGCGCGCAGGCGGAACACGTCGGGGCGCTTGGTGTAAGCGGGGGCGCGCTCGGCCAGAGCGTGGTGCACCCCCAGCGGCGCCTCGGGGGGGGCCCCCGCCCTGCGCAGGTGCAGGAGGGTCCCCTCCAGCACCGCCTCGAAGCGCTTCCAGCCGCGTCTGCCCCACGGCGCTGGGGGGCACGGGGGGGGGGGGGGTTGGAGCTGGGGAGCGGAACCCCCCGGATCGTGCCCCCGCCACCCACACCCCCATGGGTCCCCAATGGAGCCGCCCGAGGCTGGGCTGCTGTGAGCCCCCCGAGATGGGCACCCCCAAATCTGACCCTGCGGACCCCAACGGAGCCCAAAATCACCCCCCCCAATTCACCCCAAAAGGGGCTGAGCCCCCACAGCTGCGGACCCCAACGGAGCCCAAAATCACCACCCCCCCCCCAATGGACCCCACAACTGGACCCCCAACCCCCCCAATCTGCCCCATGGACACCCCCCCTCCCCACTCACCCTTTTTGCCCTCGGCCTCGGCCAGCACCTTCCTGGCCAAGCAGCCCCGGTGGGTGACGGCCGCGGCCCCCCCCGGCAGCTCCGGCCGGGATTCGCTGCTCCTGGGGCCGGGGGGGGGCTCCTCCTCCTGCCCATCCTCATCATCCCTGCGGGGGGGGGCTCAGCATCACGGGAGCCCCCCCGTGTCTGTCCCCCCCCCGCTCCCCCCATAGCCCCGCACTCACAGCGCCCACGGCAGCTCCTGCCTGCGGATGGAGCCGTAGAGAGCCTGGGGGGGAGCCGGGGCTCAGGGGGGGCTCCGGGGGCCCAGCGGTGCCCCCCCCCCCCGGTCCCCCCCGCACCTGGAGCTGCTGCCGGGGGAAGTCCTCCCCGTCCATCATCCCGCGCAGGTTGGCCACGAACTGGGCGCTGCTCATGGGGCGGCCGAGGCGCTGCAGGGCAGGGGGCGTGGGGGGGCTGCCCCCCCGCACCCCGCCGTGGGGGGCACACGCGGGGGTCCCCCCGCTCCTCACCTGCCCGTGGAGGTCGGTGTTGAGCAGCATCAGGGCACAGGTCAGGGAGTGAACCGCGTCTGGGGGGCAGCGGGGGGGAGCCCCCGGGGGGGACGCCCGGCCCCATCAGCACCAGTGGGGGCCAATGGGGGCCCCATAGAGCTGGGAGGGGAGGGGGGGGCTCAGGGGGTATCTGTGGGTGCTATGGGTGCTATGGGTGCTATGGGTGTCTGCGGAAGTCTGTGGATCTCTATGGGTCTTTATGGTTGTCTATGGGTGTCTATAGGAGCTATGGATGTCTATGAGTGCTATGGGTGTCTATGAGTGTCTATGGGTGCTATGGGTCTCTATGGGTGCTGTGGGTGCCTATGGGTGTTATGGGTGTCTCTGGGTGCTATGGGTCTCTATGGGTGCTATGGGTGTCTCTGGGTCTCTGTGGGTATCTATTGGTGCTATGGGTATCTCTAGGTCTCTATGGGTGTCCCTGGGTGTCTCTGAGTGTCTCTGGGTTTCTATCGGTCTCTATGGATGCCATGGGTGGCTATGGGTGCTATGGGTTTCTATGGGTGCTATTGGTCTCCATTGGTCCCTGTGGGTCCCTGTGGGTCCCTATGGGTCCCTGTGGGTCTCGGGGCGCTCGGGGCTCACCGGGCGAGGGGAAGGCTCCGGGGTTGCAGCTGTGGAAGCGCCGCGAGAAGTGCCCGAGGACGCGCTCCCGCTCCTGCGTCTCCCCCGACAGCGCCAGCGCCCGCAGGAAGCTCCTGGGGGGGGGGTGGCAGCGGGACCCGGCCCCCCCAGCACCCCCGGGACCCCAAACCCGCCCCAATGCACCCCAAATCCAACCCAATTCACCCCAAACCCGCCCCAATTCACCCCAAATCCAACCCAATTCACCCCAAACCCGCCCCAATTCACCCCAAATCCAACCCAATTCCCCCCAAACCCGCCCCAATTCACCCCAAACCCTCTGAAATTCACCTCAAACCCGCCCCAATTCACCCCCAACCCCCCCAATTCACCCCAAACCCGCCCCAATTCACCCCAAACTCGCCCCAATTCACCCCAAACCCACCCCAATTCACCCCAAATCCAACCCAAACCCTCCCAAACCCGCCTCAATTCACCCCAAACCCGCGCCAATGCACCAAAACCCGCCCCAATTCGCCCCAAACCCGCCCCAATTCACCCCAAACCCGCCCCAATTCACCCCAAACCCGCCCCAATTCACCCCAAACTGCCCCAATTCACCCCAAACCCTCCCCAATTCACCCCAAACCCACCCCAATTCACCCCAAACCCTCTCAAATTCACCCCAAACCCGCCCCAATTCACCCCAAACCCCCCCAATTCACCCCAAACCCCCCCATCCCCCCCCTTCACCCCCCCCCCCCCCCGTATCCCCCCTGTCTCTGCCGCTGCCCCCATCTCTGCCCCCCCATCGCTACCTGAGCGCCTGGTCCAGCTCCTGCCCCCCGAACTGGAACCACTCCAGGTACTCCCGCGCCACCATCGCGCTGAACCCGTCCCTGGGGGGGCTGAGCTGGAGCCGGGGCCCGGACGCGGCTCCCCCCCCCCGGCCCCCCCCTTACCCCCGGCGCAGGAACGCGGCCACCTCGGACCTGCGGACGCCGTCGAGGCGGAAGAGGCGCGAAGCCAGGAGGCGAGCGTGGGAACGGGACCCCCCCGGGGGGCTCCTGCAGCGGGAGGGAGAGGTTGGGGGGGGGGAGGGAATGGGGTGGAACTGGGGGGGTCAATGGGGGGGGATGGAGCAGAGCGGGGTTGGGGGGGGAAGGGATGGGGGGGGCTTAACTCTGGGGGGGATGGGGGGGAAGGGGATGAGGGGTTGGGGGGGTCGGGAGGGTGAAGGGGGGAATGGAAGGGAGGGAATGGGATGGAATTGGGGGGTCAATGGGGGGAGGGGGGGCGGATGAGCAGAGCGGGGGGGGGAAGGATGGGGGGGGCTTAACTCGGGGGAGGGGAAGGGGGGTTGGGGGAGTCGGGAATGGTGGGGGGAAGGGGGGGGGATGGAAGGGAGGGAATGGGGTGGAATTGGGGGGGTCAATGGGGGGAGAGGGGGGGGTTGGCGGGTTTGGGGACGGATGGAGCAGAGCGGGGTTGGGGGTGGGAAGGGATGGGGGGGCCTTACATCTGGGGGGGATGGGGGGAAGGGGATGGGGGTTGGGGGGTCGGGAGGGTGAAGGGGGGAATGGAAGGGAGGGAATGGGATGGAATTGGGGGGTCAATGGGGGGGATGGGGGGGATGGAGCAGAGCGGGGTTGGGGGTGGGAAGGGATGGGGGGGCCTTACATCTGGGGGGGATGGGGGGGAAGGGGATGGGGGGTTGGGGGGTCGGGAGGGTGAAGGGGGGAATGGAAGGGAGGGAATGGGATGGAATTGGGGGGTCAATGGGGGGGATGGGGGGGATGGAGCAGAGCGGGGTTGGGGGTGGGAAGGGATGGGGGGGCTTAAGGGGGGGGAAGGGGATGGGGGGAAGGGGAAGCGGGGTTGGGGGGGGTCGGGAGGGGGAGGAACCGGGAGGGCAGAGCTCGGGGGGGGTTGGGGGTCCCGGGTCCGGGTCCTCACCCCTGGGCGCTGGGCGGGGGCTCCGCGGGCGTCTCGGGGGGCAGCTCCTGCTGGGGGGGGGGGCCCGGGGCAGAGCCATGGCCCGGGAGGGGGGAACCCCGCGGTGGGGAGGGGGGCGGGGACCCCTCTCCCAGCGGCTGCTGTGGGGCATCTGTGGGGCTGGGGGGGGGCTGGGCGGGGTCTATGGGGGTTGTGGGGCTGGGGGGTCTATGGGGGGGCTCTATGGGTGTTATGGAGCTGGGGGGTCTATGGGGGGGCTCTATGGGTGTTATGGAGCTGGGGGGTCTATGGGGGGGCTCTATGGGTGTTATGGGGATGGGGGATCTATGGGTGGACTCTGTGGGTGTCAGGGGCCCAGGGGGGTCCCAGCCCCCCCATCGCAGCAGCAGCCCGGGGGGGTGCCCAGAGCTGGGGGGCAGAGCCAGGGGGGCACCGAGCTCCGGGTCTGGGGGCTGGAGGGGGCTCTGGAACAGGGGATTGGTGTGGAAATGGGGCTCCTCCTCATCTTCATCCTCGTCCTCCTCAGAGCCGCTGTCGGTGCCTTCATCAGCATCATCCTCCTCATCACTGCCATCGGGCTCCCGGTGCTGGAGCGAGGAGCTGGCACCCACGGGCATGGACCCGGGGGAGATGTCCTCATCCGTGGGCACGTGGGAGATGCTCCTGGATGTGGGTCCGCGGGCTTGGTACTTGTGGGCGATGTTTTCATCCCTGGGCACGGCTGAGATGCTCCCGCCCATGGACACTGGGAAGAGGCTCCTGGATGTGGATCCAGGGCCTTGGTGCCCGTGGGAGATGTTCTCATCCATGGGCACGGGCTTGGGCGAGAGCCTGGTGTCTGTGCTCGGGGGGGTCACCCCTTCCGCACCCACCCCTGAGAAGACGATGGCGTCCTGAGCAGCCAGGACCCTGGAGCTGGGGTTACCGGAGCTGCTGGTGCTGGGGTCACTGGTGCTGGTGTTGGTGCTGATGGTGTTGGGGGTGTTGGTGGTGCTGGTGCTGGTGTTGGTGCTGGTGGTGTTGGGGGTGTTGGTGCTGGTGTTGGTGGTGTTGGTGGTGCTGGTGTTGGTGCTGGTGTTGGTGCTGGGGGTGTTGGGGGTCCCCGGCAGCCCCATGGCCGGTGCCAGCGCTGCGGCTTCTGGGTGTGGGGAGGGAGAGGGGTGAGAGGGGGCTGCGGGGGGGAGGAGAAGGGAGGAAGGAGGAAGAGGGAGAAGGAGGAAGAAGGGAGAGGGGGAGAGGGAAGAGGAAGAGGACACGGGGGGGGGGGGGGGGGAGGGACCAGAGGAGGAAAGAGGAAGAGGAAGGAGGGGGAGGAAGTGCCCTGGGCAGGGGGGGGGGGTCTGGGGGCACCTCCGAGGGGGGGGAAGCAACCGCCGGGGCCCCCGGGGCAGGAACCCGGCTGGGGGCAGCGCCCCACACCGCGCCCCACACATCGCTTCCGCGTCGGGCGCAGCGCGGCACAAGCCCAGAGCAGGCACCGGAGAAGCCACCAGCGGGAGAAGGGGAACGGGGAAAGGGAGGGGGGGTCCCAAAGGAGGGGGGGGGACCCCAAAGGCTGCGAAGGGGCCTCGGGGGGGGGGGGGGAGGTCAATGGGGAACCCCCGCGGGGATTGGGGGGGGCTCTTGGGGGGTGACCCCGGGGGGTGCGGGGTGACCCCAGGGTCCTTGGGGCACCCAGAGGTCACGGGGGGTCCCCCCGGTCTCGGGGGTCTCCGGATCCCTCCCTCCCCCCCCACCCCCCCCTTACCGGCACCGCCGGCGCGCGGCGCGGGGCGTGTCTGCAGCTGGCCCCGCCCCCTCCCGGCCCCGCCCCGTGTGGCCCCGCCCCCATCCTCCCGATCCCGCCCCCCCACGCTCCGAGCCGGTTCCATCTCTTTATTGCCCCGCCGGGGGTCACCTGCGGGGCCGGTAGAAGCCGGTGGCGCCGTGGGGGGGCCCAGGCCCAGCTCCTGCCCCCCCGCGGTGCTGAGGAAGGCCCCGGGGCACGCGGCCGCCTCGAAGCTGTGCGTGGAGCCCCCGAAGCTCCCGTAGAAGGTGCAGGGGGGGCCCCCTCCCCGCGCCAGAACAGCTCCAGCAGCGCCGCGTCCTGCGGGGGGGCAGCGCTGGGGCACGGCCGCGGGGACCCCCCCGGGACCGCTCCTCCGGGGGCACCGTGCGGGGGGGGGGCTTTGGGCTGAGCCGGATCGGGGGTCCCCGGCCAGGGCGGACCCAGCTCTAGGCCCCCCCCCCCCCCCAGCCCAGGGTGCCCCCAACTTGAGCAAGATTCTGCTGACCCCTATGGGTGCCCTCACCTTGGGGTGCGCCCCCTATGGGTCCTCCAAATATGGGTGCCCTTCACCTTGGGGTGCTCCACCTATGGGTGCCTCAACATTGGGGTGCTCCACCTATGGGTGCCCCCACCTTGGGGTGCTCCCCATATGGGTGTTCTCACCTATGGGTGCTCCGCTTATGGGTGCTCCAAATATGGGTGCCCTCACCTTGGGGTGCCCCCCCTGTGGGTGCCCCCACCTTGGGGTGCGCCCCCTATGGGTGTCCTCACCTTAGGGTGCTCCACTTATGGGTGCTCCAAATATGGGTGCCCTCACCTTGGGGTGCGCCCCCTATGGGTGTCCTCACCTTAGAGTGGGTGCTCCACCTATGGCTGACTCAACCTTGGGGTGCTCCCTCTGTGGGTGCCCTCACCTTGGGGTGCGCCCCCTATGGGTGCTCCAAATATAGGTGCCCTCACCTTGGGGTGCTCCACTTATGGTTGCCCTCACCTTAGAGTGGGTGCTCCACCTATGGGTGCCCCCACCTTGGGGTGCTCCCCATATGGGTGCCTTCACATGCGGGTGCTCCCCCTATGGGTGCCTCAACCTTGGGATTCCCCCTCTTGGGCTGACCCATAGCAAGGTGCCCCCCCCCCGGCTGCGCCCCCCCCTCACCACGAGCTGCAGGCGGGGCTCGGGGCCGGGGGTGCAGGACAGGGCCTGGCTGCCCCCCCGGATGCCCAGGATGAGGGGGCAGCGCCGGCGCTCCAGGTGCGGGTTGGGCACCGCACTGAGGAGCTCTGCGGGACACGGAGGGGCCGCGTGGGGCTGGGGGGCAGCGGGCACGGCCCCCCCCCCACCACCACCCCCGGCACGAACCTTCCTGGTCGGCGCTGGCTCCCTGCAGGGGGGTGGGCACCAGGCGCCCCCCGCGCAGGCAGAGCCCGCGCTGCTCCGTGTCCCGCAGCACGAAGCGGTGGGGCCGGCCCCGGGGCAGCGGCGGTGCCACCGAGGGCCCCGTCAGCTCCGGCGAGAGCTCTGCGGGGAGCGGGGGGGGGGCACGGGGGGTGTCAGGGGCATGGGGGGGGCAGGGGACATCGTGGGTGCAGGAGGGCATCACTGGAACGTGGGGAGGGGGGACACGGGTGTGATGGACGGGGGGACATGGGGGTGTCACGGGTGCACGGGGACATGGGGACCTCACAGGGATGTGGGGATGGGGGTGTCACAGGGATGTGGGGATGGGGATGTGGGACACAGGTGTGATGGATACTGGGGGATGTGGGACGTGGGGACACGGGAAGGGGACACACAGGGATAAGGGGACATCGCATGGAACACGGGGACACAGGGACACGGCGACGGGCACCGTGGGTCCGTGTCCCTGTGCCCCCAGCGCTACCTTTCCCCAGGAACTCATCGAACAAGGCGTCCATGTGGGGGTCGATGACAGACTCCGGCGCGGCTCCAGGGCCCGCGTCCGGCTTCCCGGAGACCCCCATCGGGTGCTGCAGGGGCCAGGACCCCTCCTGGGGTCCCCGGGGCCCCTCGGCCCCGCTGTTTCCCGGGGAGGACAGGGACAGGTTGGGGTGAGGGCGGGTGCCCGCTGGTGCCACATCCCGGGGGAGGGATGGGACCAGCCCGTCCTCATCCCATCCCCTCCCCATCCCGTCCCGTCCCCGTCCCGTCCCCATCCCGTCCCCATCCCATCCCCTCCCTATCCCGTCCCCGTCCCCTCCCCATCCCGTCCCCGTCCCGTCCCCATCCCAAATCCATCCAATCCCCATCCCATCCCCATCCCAAGTCCATCCCGCCCCCATCCCCTCCCCATCCCATCCCCATTCCTTCCCCATCCCGTCCCCATCCCGTCCCCATCCCGTCCCCGTCCCGTCCCCCCTCACCGGCCGCTGCTCTCAGTCGGCTCCAGAGTGAACGCGCTGCAGCCGCTGCCGGGCAGGACCCGGCTCGTTCCCGATCGGGCGGTTCCCGATGATTCCCCGCGTTCCCGAGCGTGTCCCGGGATGTGGCTCCGGCTCTTATAGAGCGGGGGAGCAGAGCCGGGCCCTGGCCTTGGGCGGTACCGCTTTGGGCAGGGCCGGGGATGGTGAAGCCTCACCCGGTGCCCGTGTCCCGCCGTGTCCCGGGGTCCCCTCGGGTCTCCTGTGTCCCCTCCACTGCCACCGGGCCGGGGGCACCGTGTCCCCGTGCGCCCCATCCCCCGGTCCCTGTGATTCTCCCTCGCTTCGGGTCCCCCCATTCTTGTGCCCCTCCATGTCCCTGCGCGCCGCATCCCCCTGTCCCTGCGATGCCCGCATGTTTCCGTGCCCCCCTATATCCCCGTGTCCCCATAGAGCTGCCTCCAGACACCCCTGTGTCCCCACGCCCCCGTCCCTGTAATGTCCCCGTGTCTCCCCCCTGTCCCCACACCCCCGTCTCCCCGTCCCCCTATTCCCGCGTCCCTCCGCCGTCCCCACCCCATCCCCGTGATCCCCGTTCCCGTCTCCCGGTGCCGGTCGGGACCCGCCGGGGCTGGAGCGTCTCCAGCGTCCCCCGCTCCGGGAAGGAGCCGCCCGAGCCCGGGACGCGGAGCCCCCGACACGGGACCGGTGCCCTCGGCAGCTTTATTGGCCCGGGGCGTCAGCGGGGGTCAGCGGGGGGGAGGTCCCGGTGCCCAATGGGGGGGTCCCGGTCCCCGGCGCCGGGCTCCGGGCACTCGGCGGCGCTGAAGTAGAAGTCGAGGCGGGTGCTGGCATCGGGGCACCGGGAGAGCCCCAGGGGCTGGTGGCCCCGCGCCGAGGTGCACAGGAACCAGCCGGGGTTCGCGGCCGACTCGAAGCGCCAGAGCCCGGCCCGGTACGAGCGGAAGAAGGTGAAGGCGGCCGAGGCCGCCCCGGCGCGGGGCAGCTCCCGGATGTCGGCGTCCTGCGGCGGCACCGGCACGGGACCGGGGTGGGACCGGGAAGGGACCGGGATGGGACCGGGGTGGGACCGGGACGGGACCGGGATGGGACCGGGATGGGACCGGGGTGGCACCGGGCAGCGGCACGGGGAAAGGGGGACCGCGAGAGCGGGGGCTGCGGTCGCCCCAGCCCCGTGGTGTCCCCTCCCCAGGGCGTCCCCATCCCTTTCACGTCCCCATTTCTTTGCTGTACCCATCGATGTCCCCATCCCCACAGTGTCCCCGTGGTGCCCCCATCTCTTTGGTATCCTCTTCCCCCTGTTGTCCCCCTCCCCACTGTGTCCTCCTCCCTTTGGGGGCCCCGTGGTGTCCCTTCCCCAAGGGGTTTCCATGATGTCCCCATTCCCACTGGTGTCCTCATCCCCATGGACGCCCCCATCCCATTGGTGCCCCCATGGTGTCCCCATCGATATCCCCATCCTCAATGACGTCGCCATCGATGTCCCCATGCCCAATGACATCCCCGTGTTCCAGCGGTGTCCCCATGGTGTTACCATCTCTTTGTGTCCCTATCCCCATTGATATCCCCAGGCCTTTGGTGTCCCCATTGATGTCCCCGTCCCTGTGGTGTCTCCATGCCCACTGGTGTACCCATCCCATTGGTGTCCCCATCTCCATCGCCCTTGGCGTCCCCATCCCTTTGGTGTCCCCACTGATGTCCCCGTCCCCGTGATGTCCCCATGCTCACTGGTGTCCCCAGTGATATCCTCATCCCTGCTGGTGTCTCCATCTCAGTGGTGTCCTCATCGATGTCCCTATCCCATTGGTGTCCCCATCCCCGTGGTATCCCCAAGATGTCCCCATCCCCATGGACGCCCCCATCCCATTGGTGTCCCCATCATATCCCCATCCCCAATGATGTCCTCATTGATGTCCCCATCCCATTGGTGTCCCCATCCCGGTGGTATCCCCAAGATATCCCCATCCCCATGGATGCCTCCATCCGGTTGGTGCCCCCATGGTGTCCCCATCGATATCCCCATCCCAAAAGGTGTCCCCACTGATGTCCCCATCCCTGTGGTATCCCCATGATGCCCCCCTCCCCATGGATGCCCCAATCCCATTGGTGTCCCCATCGATATCCTCATCCCCACTGATGTCCCCACTGATGTCCCCATCCCCTTGGTATCCCCATGATGCCCCCCATCCCCATGGATGCCCCCATCCCATTGGTGCCCCCATGGTGTCCCCATTGATATCCCCATCCCAAAAGATGTCCCCATTGATGTCCCCTTCCCACTGGTGTCCCCATCCCCATAGATGTCCCCATCCCCTTGGTATCCCCATGATGCCCCCCCATCCCCATGGATGCCCCCATCCCATTGGTGTCCCCACGGTGTCCCCATCGATATCCCCATCCCCAGTGATGTCCCCACTGAAGTCCCCATCCCCTTGGTATCCCCATGATGCCCCCATCCCATTGGTGCCCCCATGGTGTCCCCACTGATATCCCCATCCCAAAAGATGTCCCCATTGATGTCCCCTTCCCACTGGTGTCCCCATCCCCATTGAAGTCCCCCGCATCCCCTTGGTATCTCCAAGATATCCCCATCCCCTTGGTATCCCCATGATGCCCCCCATCCCCATGGATGCCCCCATCCCATTGGTGTCCCCATCGATATCCCCATCCCCAGTGATGTCCCCATTGATGTCCCCATCCCCCTGGTATCCCCATGGATGCCCCCATCCCATTGGTGCCCCCATGGTGTCCCCACCGATACCCCCAGTGCTGCCCCCATTGATTCCCCACCCCGTTGGTGCCCCCCCGCTGGCGGTGGCTGACCTGCAGGCTCAGGCTGGGCCGGGGCCCGGGGGCGCTGGCGAGGCACCGGGACCCGTTCTGGATGCCCATGACGAGGGGCAGCCGGGCGGGCGCGAAGGCGCGGTTGGGCACCCAAAACACCTCCTCTGGGGTCCCCCCCCCCGCGTCAGGGCGCGCCCCAAGGGGGGGTCCCCATCGGTGTCCGCGCCCCCCCCCAATCCGCAGGGCCCCCCCTCACCTTCCCGCGCCGCGTTGGCGCCCTGCAGGTGCCCGGCCACGAGCCGCCCGTCGCGCAGGTAAAGGCTCTTGTGGTCCACGTCGCGCATCCTGCGGGGACAGCGCGGACACCGCTGCCCCCCCCCGCTCCGCTCCGCTCCGCCCCGCGCGGCCCCGCGCCCGCAGCGCCACTCACCGGTACCGGAGCACTGCGCGGGGCCGCGGGGCGGGCGCGGCGGCTGCGGGCTCTGCGCGGAGACAGAGGAGGAGGAGGAGGAGGAGGAGGAGGGCGAGGGCGAGCGCGGGTTTGCGCGCCAGGGCCCCGCCGCCGCCGCCTCCCGCTCCCGGGGGTCCGCGCTCACCCATGGGGCGCGGAAGGAAGGAGGAGGCGGCGGAGCTGTTGCCTCACCGCTGGCGGAGGGGGAAGCGCTGGTTCCGCCCCGCTGCGGGCTCGGCACGGCCCGGAACGGGGACGGGGGGGGACGGGACGGGACAAACACACAGCGGGGACGGGGACACAACCGGGGGTCACCGCTCCCGTCGGAGCTGGCGCAAGGGGGTCTCGAACCCTCAACCTCACCGCTGGAGGAGCAGCGCCCTCCTCGCTGCGCCACCGGAGCGCGGATGTGTCAGTGGGCAGGGGGCTGCAGGGGGGGCCGTGGGGCTCGCACGAGCCTGGGTGGGGGTCCCTGTGGTGCGTGGGTGCCCAGCATCGCTGGGGGGGGGGGTGCCCCTGGGGTGCCTTTGATCCAGGGCAGGGGGTTCCTTCTAGCTGGGGTGGGGGCTCCTTGGGGTGCACAGGGTGCTTGTGAATCAGGGCAAGGGGCCTTTGGGGCGCATGGGTGCCGTCGGGTCCCTGGGGTGCCTGCTGGCTGGGCTGCGGGGTCCATAGGGTGCCCTTGAGCCAGGGCAGCGGCCCTGGTGTGCATGGGATGGGCTCCTCGGTGTGCACGGGGCGCTGTCAATGAGGGTAGGCGGTCCCTGGGGTGCAGGGGGCACCCAGCAGCCTGGGTGACGGGTCCCTGGGGTGCAGGGGGCACCCAGCAGCCTGGGTGACGGGTCCCTGTGGAGCAGGGGGTGCCTTGGCAGCCGAGTCCGGGGCTCTGTGGGGGCCACAGGGGGGTGTTAAGGTGCTAAGGGGCTGGGGGGGGAATCTCCCTTTCCCCATCCCATAACCCCCCCTTGTCTCTTCCCATTCCCGGCAGTACCGGGAGCAGCACCCAATGAGCAGGAATGGGGGGGCTGGAGCCCGCCGGGAGACACCCCCGAGCTGCAGCCTCCACGAGGAGCCGAGCCCGGATCCAATGTGTGTCCAGAGGCGGGAAAAGGGAGTGTTTTCCCGCCCCTTATGCAAATGAGACACATGCAAATGAGGTAGGAGGGGCGATACGTGTCCCAAGGCTCCCCCGGGGTCCTGCCCTTGCTGGCCCTGCCCCGGTGTCTGTGCTGGGTGCTGGGAGACATGGGTGTCTGTCCTGAGTGTAAGGGCGCAGGGTGTCCGTCTGTGCTGGGTGCTGGGTGCTGGGTGCAGCCATCGGTCCTGGGTACCAGAGACATGGGTGGCTGTCCAGCCTGAGTACCAGGGCCATGGGTGCTCATCTGTCCTGGGTGTCAGGGTGCAGGTGTGTTAGGTGTCAGGGTGCAGGGTGTGTTAGGTGTCAGGGTGTAGGGTGCCTGTGCTGGGTGTCAGGGCGCAGGGTGCCTGTGCTGGGTGTCAGGGTGCAGGGTGCCTCTGCTGGGTGTCAGGGTGCCTGTGCTGGGTGTCAGGGCGCAGGGTGTCTGTACTGTGTATCAGGGTGCAGGGTGCCTGTGCTGGGTGTCAGGGTGCAGGGTGTGTTAGGTGTCAGGGTGCAGGGTGCCTGTGCTGGGTGTCAGGGTGCAGGGTGCCTGTGCTGGGTGTCAGGGTGCAGGGTGCCTGTGCTGGGTGTCAGGGTGCAGGGTGTGTTAGGTGTCAGGGTGTAGGGTGCCTGTGCTGGATGTCAGGGTGCCTGTGCTGGGTGTCAGGGCGCAGGGTGTCTGTGCTGTGTATCAGGGTGCAGGGTGCCTGTGCCAGGTGTCAAGGTGCAGGATGCCTGTGCTGGGTGTCAGGGTGGAGGGTGCCTGTGCTGGGTGTCAGGGTGCAGGGTGCCTGTGCTGGGTGTCAGGGTGCAGGGTGCCTGTACTGTGTATCAGGGTGCAGGGTGCCTGTGCTGGGTGTCAGGGTGGAGGGTGCCTGTGCCTGGTGTCAGGGTGCAGGGTGCCTGTA